TGAGCGCCCCACACACACACACACACACACACACACACACACACAGACAGACACATGAACTGACATTTGTCATCAAATAAATGCACTTTCAGATTTGTTGCAGTGTAGTTAACCCTCGTGCATCAATTAAAAGAGGACAGAACAGCCAGTGACCAAAAATGGACGTAAAAGTATTTTATATGATATATTTTTTACTACATTCACTAACACAGATATTTTTACCAATATCAGTCATGACTATAACTACCAAAAATTCATTAATGAATTCATGAAAAAACACAAAAAATCTGTTGCTTTCCATATTCTAAATGCTAAGCATGTTTTGAGTTTATTAATGTCTGTGATTAGAAACAACATTAATTTTTGATGCATTTTTATTTTTGTGCAGTTTCAGATTTAAAAAGAAAAACACAAAAAAATTTCTCAGCACAAACACACACAAAGCACGCTCTGATATCAACACCAACACAACCACACAATTATAACTACAATGTTCAATTCCACTGGCGTTTTTCCAGCAGAAGCAGAAAACAGGAACAAAGCGAGTATTTGCTCCAGAGAGCAAACCTCAGAAAATGGTGCCAAAATAGTAAAATATTGTAAATTTTTATAAACAGCTACAATTTTGTAGACTTGTCAACAGAATGAAAGCTGATTAAAGAATGCATGAGTTTGTTTAAATGGCACTGGGATGAAATACTGCTGTTTTAATGGGTACATTTCTGTCTCTAAAGTCCTCACTATTTGTGTACCTACTGTAAAATAGATTTATGAGAGGAAATAAAGGTGAAATCTTAAAAAGCCAATAAAATACACATTGTTTGCATTAACACAGCCAAAATGATCAAAAACCAAATATTAAAAAGACAAAAATGTTTAAGGGTTAATGACATTTACCTTCCTAACAATCATTATCTTCTGCGCCCCAGATGTAATCGTTTGATTCAGTTCTAAAATGAGCTGCAGTGTTCAATGCGGTGTTTGTGGTTCGATGCGGTGTTTGTGGTTCGGTGCGGTGGTGTTTGTATTTCAGTGCGGTGGTGTTTGTGTTTCGGTGCGGTGGTGTTTGTGGTTCGGTGCGGTGGTTTTGTGGTTCGGTGCGGTGTTTGTGGTTCAGTGCGGTGGATTTGTGGTTCGGTGCGGTGTTTGTGGCTCGGTGCGGTGGATTTGTAGTTCGGTGCGGTGGTTTTGTGGTTCAGTGCGGTGTTTGTGGTTCGGTGCGGTGTATTTGTGGTTCGATGCGGTGTTTGTGGTTCAGTGCGGTGGATTTGTGGTTCGGTGCGGTGTTTGTGGCTCGGTGCGGTGGATTTGTAGTTCGGTGCGGTGGTTTTGTGGTTCAGTGCGGTGTTTGTGGTTCGGTGCGGTGTATTTGTGGTTCGATGCGGTGTTTGTGGTTCAGTGCGGTGGATTTGTGGTTCGGTGCGGTGTTTGTGGCTCGGTGCGGTGGATTTGTAGTTCGGTGCGGTGGTTTTGTGGTTCAGTGCGGTGTTTGTGGTTCGGTGCGGTGTATTTGTGGTTCGATGCGGTGTTTGTGGTTCAGTGCGGTGGATTTGTGGTTCGGTGCGGTGTTTGTGGCTCGGTGCGGTGGATTTGTAGTTCGGTGCGGTGGTTTTGTGGTTCAGTGCGGTGTTTGTGGTTCGGTGCGGTGTATTTGTGGTTCGATGCGGTGTTTGTGGTTCAGTGCGGTGGATTTGTGGTTCGGTGCGGTGTTTGTGGCTCGGTGCGGTGGATTTGTAGTTCGGTGCGGTGGTTTTGTGGTTCAGTGCGGTGTTTGTGGTTCGGTGCGGTGTATTTGTGGTTCGATGCGGTGTTTGTGGTTCAGTGCGGTGGATTTGTGGTTCGGTGCGGTGTTTGTGGCTCGGTGCGGTGGATTTGTAGTTCGGTGCGGTGGTTTTGTGGTTCAGTGCGGTGTTTGTGGTTCGGTGCGGTGTATTTGTGGTTCGATGCGGTGTTTGTGGTTCAGTGCGGTGGATTTGTGGTTCGGTGCGGTGTTTGTGGCTCGGTGCGGTGGATTTGTAGTTCGGTGCGGTGGTTTTGTGGTTCAGTGCGGTGTTTGTGGTTCGGTGCGGTGTATTTGTGGTTCGATGCGGTGTTTGTGGTTCAGTGCGGTGGATTTGTGGTTCGGTGCGGTGTTTGTGGCTCGGTGCGGTGGATTTGTAGTTCGGTGCGGTGGTTTTGTGGTTCAGTGCGGTGTTTGTGGTTCGGTGCGGTGTATTTGTGGTTCGATGCGGTGTTTGTGGTTCAGTGCGGTGGATTTGTGGTTCGGTGCGGTGTTTGTGGCTCGGTGCGGTGGATTTGTAGTTCGGTGCGGTGGTTTTGTGGTTCAGTGCGGTGTTTGTGGTTCGGTGCGGTGTATTTGTGGTTCGATGCGGTGTTTGTGGTTCAGTGCGGTGGATTTGTGGTTCGGTGCGGTGTTTGTGGCTCGGTGCGGTGGATTTGTAGTTCGGTGCGGTGGTTTTGTGGTTCAGTGCGGTGTTTGTGGTTCGGTGCGGAGTATTTGTGGTTCGATGCAGTGGATTTGTGGTTGTGGTTCGATGCGGTGGTTTTGTGGTTCGATGCGGTGTTTGTGGTTCGGTGCGGAGTATTTGTGGTTCGATGCAGTGGATTTGTGGTTGTGGTTCGATGCGGTGGTTTTGTGGTTCGATGCGGTGTTTGTGGTTCGGTGCGGAGTATTTGTGGTTCGATGCGGTGGATTTGTGGTTGTGGTTCGATGCGGTGGTTTTGTGGTTGTGGTTAGTAGCGCTGACCCGTCAGTGACCCGTGGGCTGAGTGTGTGTTGGAGCGTGTCGTTCTCTCTCACGCTGAGGGTGAAATGGCTGTTTACCGCAGTGAGTGTTACTCTTCCTTTTATAGTTCCGGTGATTTATGGGCCGTTTCTTCAGCGCAGGAACAAAAGCTGGTCCCGCAGGGCGTCTCTGACTCTGCTGAGTGAGCAAAAACAATGCTTTAGTCTGTGCTGGTGTGTTTAAAGCCCTGCTGTTGGGTGAAAAACCACGTTCAACTTCTGTTTTTGGGGTCAAATTCACCCCATGCAGTCTGCCAAAAATTAAGATTCATGTAAAAACAGCAAAGCTCTATTGTATCTGGTCAGAGACTGAAAAATATAAAATGTGGGAGAAATGTAATAATTTTCTTCTATTGTATTAAGGTTCAATTTGACACAAAATTACTTGTTCAGACACAATACAAAATATATTTTTGTCATGACACGCAGGTGTAATAACAAGCAACTAATAAAAATGATATTATTTGTGCTTAGTAGTGTTTATTGCGGTTTGTACTTCTGTTATCTTTTTATCTAACCCTAATGAGGGTTAAATGTGTTTCTCACACTAATTTCCAGTGCTGTAATAGTCTAGTATTTGAGATCCAAAAACAACCTTTGAGAGAAGTTTTCTTAAGATTTTTTTTTACCTGATTCTTTAGTGTCTTTCAAAGTGATTTTTGACAAATTGCATGGAAACCAATGGGGGTTAATTTGATGCGCAACACAAAAATTGCAACTAAATTTGTACAGCCGCTCCAAAACACATTTATGTGTCGAAACATTGCATACGCATTCATGACGCTGAATGAGAAACATTCACCAGATTTGTAGAAATAATTTAACCAGTACATAAAGCATTTTCAAATTCTAGTTAAATTGTCCTTAAAATAACAGGAGCTGAACTGTTGCTGGTTTGTGTCTGATATGAAGGGTTAAGGAGGATCTGACATGTCCTCACGTCTCTGTCAGTGTGTTTGATGAAGATGTTTCTTTTTGTAATATTATTTTTATTACATTTTCTTGAAACACTTACAAGACTGACACATGTACATACCGTGCCAGTAACAACACTTACAATGTACAAAAAACAAAACAAAACAAAAAAACACTAGGGGCTCATATTACATGAAAAGTGTGATCGCACAAACCAACATTAGGTTAATACAGTTTGTACTTTGGAAGTTAGATTTAATAATCCATTGCAAACAATAACAACCACAGCTATAAGGGGTTAATATAATGCACATTAAAATATATTTTAATACCCAATCAGGAATTTTGATCCTCCTCTCTTATATTGTTAATATCACTACATTCAATAAATAATAAAAAAATGATTCCAGATTTTCTTAAATTTAGCTTCTTTACCCTTAAGCATATAGGTTATATTTTCCATTGCAATGCATGAAGATATATCTCTTAACCAACGAGTTACGGTAAGCCTTTTTCCAATAAATGGCAGTGAGCCTTTTGGCATGTAAAATACTTTACATACTTGATTATCCTTTTTAATATTCCAGTTATCTGGATGAATGCCAAGAATTAAAAACCCCGGATCTAATGGTAACCTCATCGAAACCATATGTGACCCTGGAGCACAAAAGCAGTCATAAGCAGCACAGGTATATTTGTAGCAATAGCCAACAATACATTGTATGGGTCAAAATTATACATTTTTCTTTTATGCCAAAAATCATTAGGATATTAAGTAAAGATCATGTTCCATGAAGATATTTAGTACATTTTCTACCATAAATATATCAAAACTTAATTTTTGATTAGTAATATGCATTGCTAAGAACTTCATTTGAACAACTTTAAAGATGATTTTCTCAATATTTAGATTTTTTTGCACCCTCAGATTCCAGATTTTCAAATATTGTCCGATCCTAACAAACCATACATCAATGGAAAGATTATTTATTTAATATTTTCAAAAAATTGACCCTTATGACTGGTTTTGTGGTCCAGGGTCACATATGCATCATATTACGATGAAGATGTTTCTTGAGAGGAAGTTGAGGACAGGAAGTGCGTGTATCTGTGACAGCTTGTGTTTTTAGTCTCAGTGCTGACGTCAGTGATTCACACATGCTCTCTTGACATGTTCACACACAACTGATTCTCAGCGACGCCATGCTCGGCGGCCTTGTGGTGTAAAACAACAGAAGAAAATAACTGTGCAAATGTAGTTTTAGTCTGCAGGGCGGCTGTTGGTTTGGATTGTGTGAATGACAAGCGCTTCTCTTCTCCTGCAGCATATAAATGCATCACGGACCAGCGGGAGCAGCTGGAGCAGATGCTGCCGCTGGTGTTGGGTCTCATCCTGGGTCTCATCATCGTCATCACCGTCTCCGTTTATCACTTCCACCTCAAACTGAGCGCCCCGCAGCTTCCTCGCGACTGCTCGCTCTACAAGAACATGTGAAGACTCTCTATGCACACGCCATATGTCCCGTCTATAAAGGTCCAGTCCAGACGTCTCAATGCACCTCACTAGAACTCCTCTTTTCTTTCTGGGTTCTGTGTCGAATGTATGGAAGCCCGTTTCCACCATAGAATGAAAAAAATGTAAAAAGGTAATTGCGACTTTTTTCAGAATTGCAAGGTAAAGACTCATAATTGTGAGAAACTCGGACAAAAAGCCAAAATTGTGAGATAAACAGTCGTAAGTACCTTTTATTTCATAGCTGGAATACAGAATTGTTAGACAAACTTAGAATTCAGAAAAAAAATCTGAATTGCAACATGTAAACTTAGATTTCAAAGGAAAAAAGTCAATTGCGTGATGTAAACAGAATTCAGAGAAAAAGTTAGAATTGCAAAATGTAAATTTAGAAATCGTAAAAAAGTCAATTGCGTGATGTAAACAGAATTCAGAGAAAAAAAATCTGAATTGCAAAATGTAAACTTTAGAAATCTGAAAAAAAAAGTCAATTGCGAGATGTAAACTTAGAATTCAAAAAGAAAAAAATTCTGAATTGTGAGATGTAACTAAAATTCTGAGGACAAAATGTCAGAATTATGTTAATATCTTGCAATTCTGACTTTTTTTCTCAGAATTATGAATTTATATCGCGCAATTCTGTTCATATCTCAGAATTGCAAGAAACAAAGTCCGAACTGTGAGTTAAAAAGTTGATATTACCTTTATTTTTTTATTTTCTTTGTGGTGGAAACAGATGTTTCATACAAATGTCTCATCTAGATGTTAAATGTTCCTGTAACCGCTGCACTCGTCACGTATGTCGTTTACCACATGATTGTCTATCACTGTAACAAAATTGAGATATTGAAATTGCTTGAAGGCTATAAATAAAGTACAAATATTTATTGATGATTATTTCATGATTATTTTGTGATAATTGAATATTTTATGATTTGCTAAATGAGACCAACTGTACTGTCCATGTACTGAAGTGTGTGAAACAGCACAGAATGACTTGTGTTCTTCTCCATTTGCTCTCTCATGGATGTGGAGTTTTAGAAGAGGTTTGTCTTTTCCAGCTGAAAAAGGGGAACTGAAGGTTTAGATCCATCAGAATCATACACGACAAGGAGATGAATGGAAAATCAATGAGAAGCGGTGGGACAGCCGTAACATCACTGGCATTAAAGATTTCCCCAAATGAGCTGCGCTCCTCACAGATCGATGTCTGGCGTCTCAGGCGCTGAGGGGTTTATTGATCCACGTCACCGGCGCTCAATTAAACACTGCTTCTGCTGGCCAGTGATTTATGCTGCGCTCATAAATGCTCGTTCATCGCCTGTTCTTTAGGATTTCTCTGATCACTCGCTCTTAAAGTTCTGCTCGATCTCATGTTTGGTGTATGTGTGGCGTATTTATCAGTTCTCACGCTGCAGCTCAAATCTCATTCCAGCATGTTCATCTTCAAATGTGGTGTGCTAATAAACTTTCATTTTTTGTCGAACTGTTTCTTTGGTATTGTCATGCTTTCAAAACTGTACAGAAGCATATTTACTGTAAACTTTGAATTTTATGACAGATTTGATTAGGAACGTTAGGAATAATTTTATTAATAGACTACTTGAAAATGTTCTTAATCTTTTCTTCTAGAAGAATTCAAAACCGAGTAAAAGATGTTTCATTTATTGGTTTGTTTCAAGTAAACAAAAGAATAATGACATTAATGGCTCATTCTCCGAGGAGTTCAAGCCTTTTGGGGTCTCAAAAGAAAATTGTAACAGTATCATAGAAATTAGATTGTTACACTTATAATTTAGTTTGAATTATATTTGAGTTATAATTAGTCATCTTTGTTCATTTTCTGTTTTCATTATAATGTTAACGTTTTTGTAATTTTGTTGTGTTTCCGTATAGTTCCATGTAGTTTTCATTAATTTTTCAGTTTCAGAGAAGTTTAAGTAACAGAAATTGTTTTATGGCATTTTGGTTAACTATAATAACCCTGGCCACATGTAAAAAACATTGTTCATGTTTATTATTTTTATGTTTGAACATATACCTCTAAATTAAAAATTGTCCCGAGTCCTGAACTGTAAACAAAGTTTTGGTTTCTTTTCCTTCATGTCACATTAATCAAATGGTTTCCAGCAAGTACATTTGCATATAGCGTTTAATGTCATCAAATGAACATCTCACACCTGTAATGTTAAAAGAGCTGCTCAGTTTTATTATTAATATTTGTAAGTACTGAATTATATTCTTTAAAAATTGTTCTTAAAAATACCTGAGAACCAAATGATTACACAGAAAAACACGTTTATGTAAGAGTCTGAATGAAGCACAGGAGGACACGTGCGTTTGAGGTTTTTTATTGAAAGCAGCTCTTAGTGACACACATGCAGGATCACCGTACAAAAGCCACGCGACAGCAGATCTGAAGAGTCCTACAGAAACACATTTCCAGATCGCAGTGAGCCAGGAGACACGGGTGAGACGCCACGAGAAAACACGCGAGGATTGTGCCGAATATTGCTAGAGAGTGAGCGTGAGAAGGCCACACTACTGAAAACCAGAACGAAACCAGCGTAGAAAACTCTGGCGCGACCTACAAACGTAGAATAAATAAATATATTGGGCTTCATCTGTCTGCAACAGCCATCTTCAAAAAAAACGAAATATAAACAGTAGGAAAGTTTATTATTATTAGTTATTGTTATTTTGCAGAAACTCTCAGTTCTAGGTAATACTGCCCATTTCACCATGGTGACGTCACAACAAAAATACTGCCATTTATCAAAACTGTACAAGTAAAACTTACAATTGCTCTAAAATATATCTTCATAGTTAGCGTGAGAAGACGTCAGTCTGGTTGTGGATGAAACGCTCTGACTCTGAGCGCTCAGCGGTGGCGGTAGTGGCGCATCAGAGGAATGATGCAGGCCGGCGGGCCCGACAGCTTCAGGAACGAGTGCTGCAGCAGTTCCAGCGCCGAGGCCCGCTGCGACGGCTCTCGCACCAGCATCAGCTCCAGGAGCGCCCGCAGAACCGACGACACCTGCACCCAAACACACCAGACTCAACACACGTCACTAGAGTTGGGAAAACAAATCGATGCATCGCGAATAGGGGTGTAGAGATACACGTACTCGTATTGAACGGTTCGGTGTGCATTACAAACCGAACGATTCGATTCGTTGGACTAGTCCTATTACGTTTGGAAAATAAAAGAGCTTAAAGTGTGTGAAATATAATGTTCTCATCAAGGCAGCCCAAGCAACGTGCTGTCTGCCCCGCGATAATCTCGAAATCACGATGATCTTGTATCGACGATAGCTTGAGATATTGTCAAAAACAACAACTGTTGGCAATATTAAGATATTTGGCATTTCCAGTTAGGCTATTTACTCTTCAATTAAAATGTTTAAAAAAAAGGTATTTTAAAACAGGTCTATTATACAGTGAATTATAGGCCTACAATTAAAATATTAACACTGCAGTCATCAATAAAAATCAATAAAATAAAAAGCTTTTTTTTTCAAGCACCGACTTTCAAAAACAACCTGTTTAACACGGAATATGTTTCTTCTCATTTTTTTTCACTATGTAATATTAGAAATATTAAGGGAATAAATGAAAACAGTTAGTTATATACCGTCATCAGCATATGTTGAAGTAGATTCGTCTCGTCGTCTCTGAGAGAATATGCGGCATCAGATGCCGAAAGCTCCGCCTTTACTCCATCATTCCGTTTTTACTTTCACTTTCTGCATATAGTGAATTGATTGAGAATAAGACGTGCTTTTTATTCGTATTTTTGTAAGATTAAAAACTAGAGTAGAGCGCCATCTGCTGTTAAAATCTAAGCTCAGAACCGATTCCAGAGAGAGTCGCGATGCATTCGGAAGATCTCAGAATCAGTCCACGAATTGATTCTGCATTGATTTATCGTTGCAGCTCTAGTCACATGACACAGTGTTCAATATACAGCACCTCATTTATAAAATGTTGCATAGAAACCATCCTAAATTTGATCATCTCTCAAATATGCATACATGTGATTCATAGAATGAACGTACGTACAGAAAACGCACATACACCTCTCTTTCAGATGTGAAATCTATGAATCGCAAATGACCGTGAACTTGCATGCAACTGAATGGTTTCAGCTCTCTGCCTCGTAAACGACTCCTAATTAATGTCATTAACATATAAAAGATCATCAGTCATGGTCCAAATCCTTTAAAAACACTGCGGTACTCCAACAATAAATAGTGCGTATGTCTACGCTAAGCACTTTTCCACGTCAAAGACAGTTTTTACAAATATGAGCGCACACACATGTAAGATCAAATCTGAGCGTACGCACGCTTTATAAATGAGGCCCACAAATCGTACATGAGCCAGACGAATGATCAGATGATCAGAGTGCTGTATTATTAATTTGTCATTTGAAATTTTGCCAACCAGTGTTTCATTACGGAATAAATCTACCATTTTAAACGAATCGAGTGAGTCAATGATTCAGTCACTCATTCATAAAGACTGTCACTTGCTGCATTTCTGAATGCATCAGCTGTATGAACGAATCGGCTGAATGAATGATTAAATGACTCGTTCATAAAGACAGTCACTTGCTTCGTTACTGAATGAATTAGAAGTTTCAAACGAATCGAGTGAGTCAATGATTCAGTGACTCATTCAGAAAGACTGTCACTTGCTGCGATTCTGAATGCATCAGCTGTTTGAACGAATCGGCTGAATGAATGATTCAATGACTCGTTCATAAAGACAGTCACTTGCTTCGTTACTGAATGAATTAGAAGTTTCGAACGAATCGAGTGAGTCAATTATTCAGTGACTCATTCAGAAAGACTGTCGCTGCGTTTTTGAATGCATCAGCTGTTTGAACGAATCGGCTGAATTAATGATTCAATGACTCATTCATAAAGACAGTCACTTGCTTCGTTACTGAATGAATTAGAAGTTTAGAACGAATTGAGTGAGTCAATGATTCAGTGACTCGTTCAGAAAGACTGTCACTTGCTGCGTTTCTGAATGAATCAGCCGTTTGAACGAATCAAAATGTATTATAAAGACATTAGCTGTGTCCCAATTCACTTACTTATACTACGCCTTAAAAGTATGTAGCCTACTCGTTTTGAGCTTTGAGCAAGTTTTGGGACAGACTACTTCGTCATAGCTGCGTCTTTAACAGATGCTCTGCTGCTTAGTTACATGCAACCTGTCACTGTTTAAACTGTCCTGTAAATCATCTTGTCACAGTTAATCCACATTTCGTTTAATTTGATTTCCTACCGTATTGGAGAGAAATAAAGAGAGGCACGTTGATCTGTCAGTCGCGGGTCTTTTATGCTGAGAACGGCTCATGTGTTTGCATAATGCATTTAAAAGTTAATGACCTAACGTATCATTATAAAAGTTTACAATGTTGCTGCAGATGAAATATAACGTGGATAACATTAAATACATATTTTTCATCAGGTTAGACATTGATTATTTATCACTCAAACCCCTTTCTCTACTTGTCCGTTGGTCTCACATATCTGCCATGTTTGTAGTTTTTTAACACTTTCTATGTGTTTGTAGTTCTAATCGAATCCTCGTCCACTGTGCAGTGTGTATGTGTTTGTAGTTCTAATCGAATCCTCGTCCACTGTGCAGTGTGTAGTGGGCAATATTAGCCGTTAGAATGTGCATCGATCTGCACTTCGAATTCTAACCGGAAGTAGTAGACCACTGGTCTCAATCTCGATTCCTGGAGGGCCAGAGCTCTGCACCGTTTAGCTCTAGCCCTAATCAAACACACCTGATCCAGCTAACCAAGGTCTTCAGGATTGCTAGAAACTTCCAAGCAGGTGTGAGTTGGTGCTGATTGGAGCTAAACTCTGCAGAGCTGTGGCCCTCCAGGAACTGAGTTTGAGGCCACTGTAGTAGACTATCCAGGAATCTTTGTCATACTTTCTTAAACATACTATGATTTGGGACACACTAATTCTATTTTCGAATACTATTTAGGACAGATAGTATGCGAATTGGGATGCAGCAAGTGACTTGCTTCGTTGTTAAATGAATTAGCAGTTTTTAACGAATCGAGTGAGTCAATGATTCAGTGACTCATTCGTAAAGATAGCCACTAGCTTAGTGTCTGATTGAATCAGCTGTTTGAACAAATCAGTTGAATGAATGATTCAATGACTCACTCATTAGAAAGTGACTCGCTACCACCTACTGGTGTTTTTAGTCTCATTTCATTTTTGTTTAACCATTTCATATTTCAATATCCATTCAAACATTAATATGCATTTATTATCAATATTTAAGCAATGTTAAATCAAAATATTTCTTTCTAAAGCTATTTTTCTGTAATGTGTAGTCAATGCTTTTCTCATGTAACACAATAATGACTTTAAATGATTTTTCGGGGAGTGATTTCTCAGCCCAAATTGATGTGCAATTAATGAATTGGCATATAATGTAATTAATTAGATTAAAATTTTTTATTGTTTTACAGCCCTAGTAAAAACTAGTGCTGTCAAATGATTAATCGCGATTAATCGCATCCAAAATAAAAGTTTTTGTTTACCTGCGGCTCCGACCAATAGAATCACAGCTGCTCACCTTGTGCGACTCCTTGAGTCGCGGCGGCAGGTTGTCTCGTATCCGTCTCATGGCCTGCAGTGGCGGCTCGTTGAAGTACGGTGGCTCTCCGTCCACCATCTCGATCACCATGATGCCCAGAGACCAGATGTCCACCTGCAGACACACCACAGCAGATCAGCGCTGACTAGCTACCCATCATGCAGCACACGGGTCACCGTCACGAACCGTACCTCAGTGCCGTAGGGCAGCCTGGAGATGACCTCCGGCGCCATCCAGTACGGCGTTCCCACCAGAGACTTCCTCTTGGGAACCTCTTTAGACACTTGAGCACAGAAGCCGAAATCCGAGAGCTTGATCTGAGCACAGAGACACCAGAGCGTCACGTACAGCACAACGCAAAGCTGATTAGCCGCTAATCGCCCCTTCATTTGTCATGTTCTCCCAGCTAATTACAAGGTGGGAGACACGATTTAATTACTTGGAACTAGTGAAGTTGCTAATTACCCCGATCACTTTTCTGCCCTCACAATAAACACACTTATGTGTGTAACTACACAGTTACATGTGAAAGATGATGATACCGTAAACCACACAACACTGTCGTGTGCTGAATATTCAATTATAACGATTAAACACAACAGAATTATATCTTATAAAATATTTATATTTAATTATAAAAAAAACTTGATCCTGTTTTTCATAGCGCTGGTTGTAGTTATCAAACACATCACTGCACTTTATATGAGAAGGCCGTGTTACCTTCGTTGTATACCCGAAGAAGTTTTAATTGGTATCGCTTCATTTATAAGTCTATTTGTGGTCTAACTCCATCTTATTTGTCTCTCAGTTTTTCTAATTCAAAAGTATGCTATAAACTACATTCAAATGATCTTATGTTTTAAAGTTCCTTGGGTTCGAACTGAACTAGGAAAAAGGGTTTTGGATATAATGCTACGTTGGCTTGGAATAATTTACAAAGCATTTTAAAGGGGTCATATGATGCGATTTCAATTGTTCCTTTCTCTTTGGAGTGTTACAAGCTCTTGGTGCATAAAGAAGATCTGTAAAGTTGCAAAGACTAAAGTCTCAAACCCAAAGAGATATTCTTTATAAAAGTTAAGATAAAAAAAGTAAAGTTAAGCCACGTCTACCTAAAACGGCTCGTTCTAACATCCGGCCGGACAGGGCATCATCACAGTATGGTGAGGGGTGTAACATTTCCGTCTCACGCTTGAGGTATTCGGCCAATCACAACGCACTGGATAGCTGGCCAATCACAGCACACCTCGCTTTTCAGACCGATGAGCTTTGTAAAAATCGACGTGTTTCAGAAAGGCGGGGCATAGAGGAGAAACAATAATGTACAGTATGTGGAAAGTAATGCGTTTTTTGAACCTTAAACCGCATAAACACATTTCATTACACCAAATACACAAAATAATGTTCTTTTTAGCAGCATCATATGACCCCTTTAAAGTTGACCATGCTTCTGACATTAAATGAGTTTAAACTACTTTTAACAACTTGTGTGTTTTATCCCCTGGTAAATTGTTGTTGTGATCGTTGATTTGTGTTTTGTGCAATTGGTGTAGACTTGTATATTTTATGTTATTTGTTGCTGCTTTCTTGGTCAGGTCTCTCTTGTAAAAGAGATTTTAATCTCAATCAGTTTTTTAACCTGCTTAAATAAAGAAATTAAATGAAATATGATAAAATTTAAAGTAAATGTAATTATTTTATATAAATCATAATATTAATGTACAATTTTTAAAAATATAATTTAACTTGATAAATAATTTTAATTAAATAATTAAATTTGATACATACAATATAAATATCTTACTTTTTTATTACATGAAATTGTATATATATTTACATTATTTGTATTTAATTACATTATATGATTTGTATTGAATTAGATTAAATTATGTATATTTATATTTAAGTTATTTGTATGATTTTATATATATATATATATATATATATACCCTTCCGTCGCTGGTGAGCAGGATGGAGTCGCTCTTGATGTCTCGGTGTATGACGCCCTGCGTGTGCAGGTAAGACAGCGCCTTCAGCACCGACAGACAGACGGTGGCGATCTGCTCCTCATTCATCCTGTCAACAAAACACACAATCATCAGATCTCCTCAACAACGTGAGCAAATCAGAGCAGACCTGCTTCTCACAAGCTCCTGAGACAAACAGTTGCTAGGGTATTTTGGGTGGTCTCATCTAGCAGCACTAATGATTGAGTTCTGTGTAAACTCTCACTGTGTGAATATAAATCAGTATCAAGCCAAGTCACCTTTATTTATCTAGCGCTTTTAACAATACAGATTGTGTCAAAGCAGCTTTGCAGTATCAAATAGGAAAACAGTGTGTCAATAATGCAAAAAAATGTCATTTCAGTTGCTCTAAACCAGAAGCATCTATTATCACAGATCCAACTTCAGCAGCAGCACTAACACACACACTTACACACACTCACTATAACACACACACACACTATAACACACACACACACACACACTCACACAAACACACACACACACACACACACACACTCACTCATTAGCAGTGCGTCTCTAACATGCAGCAGAACAAAGGCAGGAGCAGAAAGGCTCGTGGAGAGTCGTGACTCCATCAGTGGAGCGTGAGCATGTGAGTGTGTGTGTGAGTGAGTGAGTGAGTGTGTGTGTGTGTGTGTGTGTGTGTGAGGCCCAGCTGTCCACCGCGCTCTCATCTGTCTCGCCTGCGGCTGCGGCTTCACTGGAGGCGAACACGCTGCCATGTGTTTGTGCGTCCCGCTCCTCCTCAACACTAATGTGCCGTAATGCGCAAACGGGACGTGTTTGCAATTACTCTGACGAACGACGCCTCACAAGGAGATCCATGAAGGACACTTCTGTCTCCAAAACCACATTCACCACTTCATTCTTCACATACAGTGACATACAGAATACTGGTCACATGCAAACCTGCTCAGACAGACTTACATCAAACAAATAAATAATAGGTAAAAAAACAGATGAAAATAAGAAATAGCAACACTTTACAATAAAGTTTACATTAACATGAACTAACAATGAAAAATACTTCTAAAGCATTTTTAATATTAGTTAAATTCAACATTTACTAACACATGATTAAAATAAAAAGTTGTATCTGTTAACATTACTTAATGGACCTGAGCTGACTTGAACTAACAGTTAACAGTTGTATTTTTATTAATTAATTTTAAGAAAGAAAACAAATGCATTGCTCGTTGTTAATGTTAGTTAATGCATTACTAATGGGACCTTATTGTAAAGTCTTACCAAAATAAAAATGAAAAATAAGTAATAATAATAATAATAATAATAATAAACAAAATAACAATGGATAGGATTATAAAATTAAAAAAAAGCTAATAAGATGCAGTAAAAGCCCCTTTTCCATGGTTAAATCACTGTAACATCCTGGACAGTAATATAAAAGACATTAACATTCAATAAATGGTTTAATCTAATAAATAAACAGCATACACACAAGTAGTTCTTCCATCATGTGTTGTAGTTCATCAGTGTGGCTGTATCTGAATATAAACGTGTGTTTAAACGCTCATCCAATCACAGCTCTCACTCTCAGCTATCAGTTTATATTCACAAGTCGTGTCAGACTCACAAGCACACACTGATCAGCCTCAAACACCTCCAGATTCTGCATGAATACAAACAGCTCTGTGTGCCACTAATTTATCAGGAGCCTCATTACAATCTGCTGTTAATTGAAAACACGGCGCTCTTTGAACAGCCCACACGCAGGAACACGCTCTGGCACGGATCAGCGTTTGCTCTGGCAGGAACCCAGCAACACCAACATCAGACCACAGCACACGAAAAACAGCACTGAAGAACACTGATCCTGTGCACTCAGACCATCTCCACCTGACTCCATCCAACTCCACCTGACTCCATCTGACTCTACCCGACTTCAACTGACCCCAACCAATTCCATCTGACTCCAGCTGACTCCAACGACTCCATCTGACTCCAACCGACTCCATCTGGCTTCAACCGACTCCATCCGACTCCATCTGACTCTACCCGACTCCAACTGACTCCATCTGACTACATCTGACCCCAACTGACTCCATCCGACTCCAACTGACTCCATCTGACTCCATCTGACTCCAACTGACTCCAACTGACTCCACCTGACTCCATCTGACTCTAACTGACTCCATCTGACTCCATCTGGCTCCAACCGACTCCATCTGACTCTACCCGACTCCAACTGACCCCAACCGACTACATCTGACTCATCTGGCTCCTACCGACTCCATCTGACTCCAGCCAATTCCATCTGACTCCACCTGACTCCAACGACTCCATCTGGCTCCAACCGACTCCATCTGACTCCAACCAACTCTGTCTGACTATAACCGACTCCATCTGACTCCATCCAACTCCAACCAACTCCATCAACTCCACCCAACTCCAACTGATTCCACCCGACTCCAACTGACTCAAACTGACTCCACCCGACTCCATCTGACTCAAACCAACTCCATCTGACTCCAATCGCCTCCATCTGACTCCAACTGACTCCACCTGACTCCAACCGACTCCAACTGACTCCACCCAACTCCAACTGACTTCAACTGACTCCATCTGACTCCAACCGACTCCATCTGACTCCACCTGACTCCACCTGACTCCAAATGACTCCAACCAACTCCAAATGACTCCAACTGACTCCATCTGACCCACCCAACTCCAACCGACTCCATCCAACTCCAACCGACTTCAACTAACTCCATCTGACTCCAACCGACTCCATCTGACTCCACCCAACTCCAAATGACTCCAACCGACTCCACCCAACTCCAACCGACTCCATTGACTCCACCCAACTCCAAATGACTCCAACCAACTCCATCTGATTCCACCCAACTAAAACCGACTCCACCTGACTCCATCTCACTCCAACTGACTCCATCCGACTTCACCTGACTCCATCTGACTCTACCCGACTCCAACTGACTCCATCTGACTCCATCTGGCTCCAATCGACTCCATCTGACTCCATCCAACTCCAACCAACCCATCTAACTCCACCCAACTCCAACTGATTCCACCCGACTCCAACCGACTCAAACTGACTCCATCTGACTCAAACCAACTCCATCTGACTCTAACCGACTCCATCTGACACCAACCGACTCCACCTAACTCCAACCCTCTCCATCTGACTCCACCCGACTCCAACTGACTCAAACTAAAATTGAAAGTATAAAGACTGAAAATATACAAATAAAAGATACTTCAAAGTATGAATAAAAACCACAGCAGTATATTAACAATAGTAAAATAACACTGGTTCAGATGTTAAGACACAAACTGTAAATCTCATTTTAATGACTGAGTTTGTGTTTAGGTACAATCTCCACATTTATTAATAGAAATGTTGTCAAAACATCTAGAATGTGAACCCTGTTTGACCTCACCTCCTTCTGTCTTTCCCTTGTTTTCTTCTATTAATGTCTGCATTATTGTTACTCTTACATCTTGTATCTCTTATTAATTTTGAAATGCAACTGCTTCTGACTTTACATTTGAATGCAAGTATGTGTCAAACGTGACACAATGTGATGAGGAGGATTTAAACATTAAATATTTTATGAATACATTCGACACTAAAAAGATGAAATTAAACAAAAAACATAATGAAATTAGTCAAACTAATTCTATTTAAACCTTAGATGGAATTGGCTGTGAGAATCACATGATCCATCTGCTGATTCAGACCCGTGTGTCACTCAAGATGCTGCCTAAGAAGGGATCTGTCTATGTAGACATGAGTGTCTCTATTAGCGTCTCAAACGGGACAGAAATAAAGCGCATCAGAAACAGAAGCTGCTCTTCCTCTCTGTGGTGGGATGGAAGTGTGTCGTGCCGATCAGGTCACGCGTGTCTCTGAAAGCGTGCAATTACAGTCCAACACCGCGCAACACCGAACTGACGAACAACGCCAATTACTGTAATTATGCAGACGCTTCGAGAGCAGAGGCAGCGTTTAAAACAAACTCCACCACAAACTTTCACAATAATAATTCATCACTGGACTATTGTCTCCAGCAGATAACGCTGCACTCAAACCGCTGCATAAATCAGCTTCAGAAGTGTAATATTACTCTCAGTTTCATATTAGATCAAAGCTGATTGTGAAACGTGTTAAACATGTTCACTATTAATGAGACCAAAACATCTCGTCAAGTCAAGTCACCTTTATTTATCTAGCGCTTTTAACAATACAGATTGTGTCAAAGCAGCTTTACAGTATCAAATATGAAAATAGTGTGTCAATAATGCAGAAGGACAATAGTAAACACTCAATTTTCAGTTAAAGGCAGTTCATCATTGAATTCAGTGATGTCATCATCCAGCTCAGTTCAGTTTAAATAGTATCTGTGCAATCAAGTCCACGATCTAGGTGATCTAGGTATTTCTGACACAAACTCAATAATGAGGCCTAGTGTATAATCTTACTTAATCATTTTCTCTTTCACTTGGATCTTGGTGTACTTTGAATCAAAAGATCAGATGAATGCATCAGTGTGAAATCAGCTAGTTCAGACTCTGATTCTGATTGGGCGACCGGCTCTTACCTGGTGTTAGTGACGATGTCAGTCAAGGCTCCGCCCTCCAGGAACTCCATCACTACCCAGAGTTCATCACTGACCAGATAACTGTTGTACATGTCGACCACATTCTCGTGATGGTAGTCTCTCATGATTACCACCTGCAAGCAGATGAACAGGAAAACATCTAGACGCTCTCAAAGACCTGTGTCTGATCATCTCTGCTTCATCATAAATGAGGGCTGAAAATCATTTGAAATAAAACAGCAGTTATTAACATACAAAGTCTGCGAATTGAGTATATATATATATATATACTGTGTGTTTCAGAGTAAAGCGGCTAGAATACTTACAAATTGTAGTTCATTACTGATTACAGATTACGTACAGATTCGTACAGATTACGAAATCCAGATTACATGTAATCAGCTACTACCCAGCTCTGATAACGAATATTGCAGTTAATAAAATAATCTGGATTACACATATTACGTAATGTAGTCTGACTACTTTTTGATTACTTTTGACCTAACTCGTTTATCACATAGACTTGAATTGGATTATTTTGTACCATAAAAAAACAACAACAACAAAAAAAGGAAAATATATTCCATTTTTTCTTGTCAACATCATGAAATGCATTAAACATTACATTACAGCAGGGTTTCCCAAACTGTATATAAGTGGTAGGTTCATTTAGAAAGAAAAATTTAAAAAGAATTGGGCTGAATCAATACATTTTGAATAATTTACTGCCATTGTATGAATAATATGTAATCATGTAATCCATAAAAGTAACTGTAATCTAATTATAATTTTAAAATATAATATTTCTGGACTCTGATTATGTAATCCAGATACCATGTAATCAGTTACAGCACTGTGTCCATTTACACACGAGCAGCTCGTGATGCAGTGTTTTCAGTGTCTCGGAGCGACTCGACTCGGTCTCTGCATCTGCTGTGAGTCTGTGTCCAATATAATGAGCATTATACATTATATAACACACACCAAACCATCTTCCCAAACTTGTAATGAGATGCGCATATTAACAAAAGGGAAACTTCCCGTGTCTAAAGAAATTTAGACAACTATAAATATGGGACTGTGGGACTGTAAAAATAAAATAATCATGATATTATTTATCTTAAAACCTTTTTTTTTTTTTACAGAGAAATATTACACTAGTAATACTTCATATTTTGTTTCATATTTTCATAATAAGAAGAATCATGATAGAATTACTTTAAAAAATGATTATTTTATAGACGTTGATATACAGTCAAACCAAAATTTATTCAGACACCTTCAACATTTCTCACATTATATCACAGTTTATTGGTTATAGTTTAGAAGATGGTAATAAAATATGAGAAGAACTCAGAGTTAAACTGAGTCAGAACAAACTCATCTTGATAATCTCAGATAACTTTGATAGAAAGGTATGTAATGAATTCGGCTGAATAGCTGTCAGCTGTTACATTTAAGAACACAATTAGATAAAACCAATTTAGCTTCATGTTGTTCAGTCTGTGGTGTAAAAAGATCACATTAGCAATTAAAGAAAAACACTTCAGAAACACATGCTCAGCTCAAAGTGTCTGAATAATTATTGCTCCCAAATTTTACTGTTAGTCCACTGTATGAAGAGTTTTTGGGTGTAATATGTCACAGTTTACTTTATTTTGCTCTCATCGCTTACATGAATGAACTGTAGTGTCCTGCACCCACTAGTAAAAAAATATCAAAAATTATATCTGCTGTCTGAATGATTTTTGGTTTGACTGTATAATCACAAAGGTTTTAGCCTATACCGCACAGCTCTACAAACCTGGAGCTTTTTTCACCATTTTGCTCACCAGGATATTGGTGCACTCACCTCGTTGAACAGAAGTTCCCGCCGGCAAACGACTCTTAATTAATGTCATTAACATGTAAAAGATCACCAGTCATCATCCAAATTCTTTAATTTAGAACAGTGAGCTGCAAGAACAGCTTACATTTCCAAAAACCTGCAGTACTCCGACAAGAGAAAGTGAGTACGTCTGCTCAGACCCTGACGTGATGCTAAGCACTTTTCCACATCAAAGACAGTTTTTACAAATATGAGCGCTGGCGTGAATTTAAGCGCACACACACTCTAAGATTAAATCTGAGTGAACACACACTTTTTAAATGAGGCCCCATGAGTGAATAATGCAGACACGAGCAGCAGCAGAAGATGCTCATGATTCCTCATTACAGGCCTGCGATGATCCTCAAACGCTCGTTTATCACAGAGCTGCTGTCTGCTGAGGGAACGGCCCTCAAACTGAGGCTCAATGTCACACATTACAGCAGGACAACAAACCAAATCACTCTGACACTGGAATCATATGATCATTCTGTCTTCATGTACAAAACAAGAGGGTGAACATTCAGATAAAGATCTGCGGTGTTTTTTACCGAACAGAAAATATCACACAATATTTATGATCAATAACACAGCTTTAAAACAGCTGTTTTCTGTGTGAATATCTGTTAAACTGTAATTTATTTCTGTGATCAAAGCTGAATTTTCAGCATCATTACTCCAGTCTTCAGTGTCACAGGATCTTCAGAAAGATCGTTTTAAATCGTAATAATACAATCAAATAGTAATAATATTTCAAGAGTTCTTTTAAAAACATTGAAAAATGTAATTATTACTTTTTATTATAATAATTACTACTTAATTATTCAAACTTTTGACTGGTAGCGTATGTGATACACACATACAGCTGAGATGTTTCCAGCATGCATACAGTGAGAAGCAAGCATATGTTAGTGGAATAAAGCATTAGAAAGACCACAGTCACGACGGATCTGATTCTCACGCAGTTAGTCTGCAGGGTCACGGTGGGCGGTAGATTGAATTATTCCCACCACGCCCCGAACACAAAAAGATGACACGACACGGATCGTCATCTAAGCGCCTGATGATGAGAGTGCCGGCTGTAATTACGCCGGTGGACTCGTTTAATCAATCATCCCGGCGAGGCTGTTTATGGGCCGGAGAAAGTCCCGAGACCCCCTTTCCCAACTGGCACCGCTGGCTGATCCATGTTCGTTAAATGCACATTAATCTGAATTTGGCAGCATAATCAACAACCCAACTGGAGTGTGAAATTGAATTCTGTGGTGGAACACGCCGCCGCGGCTTTTATGCAAGGGCTGCAGAAAAGGAAGGTGCCACAACATCAGTTCATCACAATGAGCGCGAGCGTGCCCGAGTTCCCAAGTCCCCGAGCTGTCGGCCTTTAACGGCCTGAGATTCCCAGCAGCGCCAACAAAACGCTGGGCTCGCTGAAAGTGACCGAGTCGAGGTGAATGAGAAAGAAAGAGGTTCGTTATGACGCCGCTGAGCCGAGACTGATGGGAGTTCGGCCTGAACCACAGCCAAATCTCTCACACACACACACACACACACAACTGTGCTGCTCAATACAGTCGACATACAGTACAACGCCGCTGTGTACATCAAACGAACCCACCAGAAACACGCTCATATTTCACCCCAAACATCAGCAGAAAGAAACATGAAAGAACATGTAGTGGAATGCAAATAATGAGTTTGTGCATCGTGGCATTATTTTCATGACACATTTACACACAAATTTCTCCTGTGATCCGATCCATATGATCCCTACACAGTGTTCATTGCTCCCTACTCCCTGAGCGGGGGAAATCCGTTGACTTCAATGAAATCAGTTTACTTCACTTCGGAAGATGAGGGTGGGACGTTCGCTTTCAGTGCTATCAGGCTAAAGTTAGCATTTTCCAAGATCTCCTACTGCACCTTTAATCATTAACACTGAATGTAGATCTTTAAAAACACACTGGATGAGCTGAATTTGGTTACACTTTATTTTGATAGACCACTTTAGACATTCTACATCTAACTACAAGTAACTTTGCAACTACATGTCTACTAACTCTCAGAGTAGACCATTAGGTTAGGTTTAGGGTTAGTACAATAAGTTGACATATACTTGCAACGTTTCTCATAGTCAGTATGTTGTATGTTGTGGACCTATCAAAATAAAGTGTTAGAAGATATTAAGCAGACAGTCTACTAATACTCTAATGACTGCTAGTTGACATGTAGTTGC